TCTCAATCATGGGGTTGATGCTTCTCTCGATAAGCTACACGACTGTTTGCTGTTTAGTTTTTATATTTTCAGTCACAGTTCTCGGAGCGATCGCCGACGCCGTCGTAAGCCGGTCCAATGCTTGGCATCCAGACTGCTCTACCAAGGATTTGTACATAGTCATTAAATATCAATTTTTAAAAAAGCTCAAATATATTAACTTGGTACTCAGCCGTGTTCTGGCAACAGAAATATCTACCAAATATTTAAATGCCAAATTGTTTTGTTTTTGCTCTTTGGTGTCCTGCAGTAACCTTCATGTGATTTACTGTAAATGTAAGTTTTGATACTACCGATGCTAATACTAACGCCTCTAATGTCCTCCAGTGTTTTATTTTCCCTCCTGTAGATCAACTAGTTCCCCTCCGTTATTATTTTTAATTAATTTAACTGTCAAATTATTTTATTGCCTTCCTTCAGGTTCGGGTGTTCACCCTTAAGCTGTTGTATATGTGATTTTTAAAAGTTTTATATACACTAGTTTCAGATTTCCAGCAAATAGTTTTGAAACTTTTTATTTGGTAAGAGTGTCTATTATCTTTTAGACTTTTTGCTTTTGTATTTATGGTTTTGTTTTTTGTAGAAGGATTGATTATGTGGTTGCTGTACGTCTCTTCGTTCGAGGGATGTTGTGTCGATGAGCCACGTTGCCGTCAGCAGACCTCGGGTCGATTCTTGGCTACTCACTTTTGTAAATCTGAGCACGACCGGCGACGCGAGCAGCCGCACAGTTACGAAAACACTCGAGGCCTGATAACTGACACAATGCTGCTGCCCGTGTCCTCTGGTGTGCCGGGAGGAACGAGCTGACCTCTGACTCGGGCAGAGGAGTAAATCTGATCAGATTACACGAGTTTAAAAAAGAATATTTCAAAAAGCAGTCTGTCGTCGGCCCCAGGTCTGAGTCGGTAAACATGGGAGGGTATGTTCTGCTGCTTAATGTCACAAATACCACACGTGAATCATTGGAGTGGAGCCAATGAATCATTGGTTTCTCAATGCTGGTTCCGATTTATTGAAAATAAAGTTATTTTTATGCACATTAACATTTTAAATGTGTGTTTTGTTTTATTTCCTGAGGGAAAGATGACTAAAGAGACACTTGTCACTTCACCTGATCACAAGGGGGTAAATTCCCCCTCAGCGGTTTTCTTTCTAGTTGTTACTCTGAGTCCTGCTAGCTTTGCTTTCTTAGTATTTTGTGTTGCACAAACAGTGCAGGCGTTGTTGCCAAGGAGACGAGCACAGTTTAAATGCACAAAACCTTTTTTGCACGATTTATTTTGTGTTCGGCATGAAGGAAAGGCAGATGATAACAAATGTACTTCGAGTAACTGAGGAGCTGCTTTCACTGTCAAAGAGAGAGTGTGTGTGTGTGCGCGTGTGTGTGTGTGTGTGTGTGTGTGTGTGTGTGTCGGATCGAACTGACAAGCCGTTGCCTGCCAGCTTCAGCGCAGCCGGGAAAAACACACTCCACTAAACGCCAAAACACTGACGAATGCAGCTCTGCTGGGAGGGGCGCACACATTCCAGCACACACGTATTCAAACATTATCCTTCACACACGCTTTCATAACCAAGCACACGGCCGCGCGGGTGGGGGTGCTGGCGGGGGCACTTTGCACTGGACCTATTTGTTCAGAAACAAGAACAGGCGAAGGTTAAAGTGCCACTTTTTTTAATCCTCTTTGATCCAGCTCCACCTGTCTGCTCCTGCTGGATGCTGAGCAGGTGAAGTGTGCGTGCTTTGCATCAGGTCTGAATGGGGACTTTCCTTTCACAAATTTGGTCCTGATAAAGTTCCCCCGGTTATTTTTATTTGGTTTAAATACAGATGTGCCTGCATAAAAACAGAAGGGGGCAACTGCCAACATGCTCCAACGTACAGCTCCAGAAGCACGGCCGTTTCTACGACTTTTTTCTTACTGGGTGGGAGAGTGAGATGTGACTACATGGAGGCACAGACAGCCTGCCTGGAGTTTGCCAAAAGGCACATGAAAGACTCTCAGACCACGAGAAATAAAACTCTCTGGTCTGGGGAAGCATGGTGGTGCTAACATCATGTTGCGGGAATGTTGTGCAGCTGCAGGAACTGGAAGACTAGTCGAGGTCAAAGGGAAGGGAGAGGTCACGGGAATGCCGATATGTGCGCAGACATCACTGATGATGCTCTGGAGCGATCGGGATTCATCTGCCAACCGGACAGCAGCCCTCATTAATTAGCACAATTTTGATGTGACATTATATGTGATCAGTTTTGGAATAAGGCTGTAACAGGACAAAATGTAGAACAAGTGAAGCTTTGTGAAAACTTTCTGGATGCTCTGTATATAAAGCATGTAGAAGCATCACAATACCTTTGCTAAACTGAATCATACTTGCAAGATTAGGAGGCAGCTTCTCGCAGTTAATTGTCACACTGCCACTAAAAAGGGCTGCAGGAATAAATGCTCATAGTAATAATAATCATCTAAGGAGCTCGGGAAGAAATGCAACCTTCAAGAAACTTAAATAAGTCTTTTCTTTAGATTACTATGACCTGGATATCATAGGAGTGATCGTTCCCCTGTTTGAATGCAAACAGTCAGTAGACATTCATAACTAAAGATCTACAGGTCACAGGATGAGGTTTTGCTAACGAGAACTGCAAAGGCAGAAAATGATCAAGCACAGGATGTCGGATGGAGTCAGATAAAACCAGAAACCAGACTGTGTAACGTTACTGTGAGGTTTCTAAGTTTCAGCTGGTAATCTGTAACAACGGCTGGTTTTCACAGGCAGTAGTTTCAGTGCAAAGACCAAGTTTCCAGATTTTAAGCTGTAATTTAAAGGGGGCTGGTCACTCAGTTCCTTTTTTTAATGCTCAAAAATGTTAAAAATAACTCAAAATAGCAATATCTTCAAGGACCTGGTGGTCCATCATATTACAGCAAGCGTGTTTGGGAATCCAGAGATCAGGGACTCCAGCCACCTGATAATTCAAACTTAATACAGTTTAAACAGGTCATTTATTATTCAAATAAAAATGGCCCCTACAGCAGTTTCAAATGGGGGAAAATAGCTTTAGAGACTTTCAGCTTATTCTCAAGGGGTCGCCACAGCAGGTAGGTCCACATATTTATTATTAACAATGTATTTGCTTAATTTTCTTTTTATGGACGCTAACATATCACGGTGGAGGGGTTTGTGCATTGCAGTCATCCAAGGAGCTATTTCTTGTTGTGAGGGTAAACTGGCCCCTGATAGGGTCCCCCGTAACAAACTGGTCCTCGGTGTGGGGCCACACAGAGCAAATCTAAAAATAAAAAAATCAAGGGTCCGGTTTACCTGGAACAGGGTCCATCCTGCCCGGAACAGGATCTCAGACCAGACCCAGGATAAGGGCAAGCGTCAGGTGGCCGTGCCTATGGAGCCCAGCCGGGCGCCGCGGTCCTGGTGCTCTGACCCCCAGCTTCCTTAGGCCCTGGGGCAGACCCAGGACTCCCTGGGGAAATTATGTCTCTTGGCTGGGATGGGAACAACTCGGTGCTCTCCCTGGATGAGCTAGCAAAGGAGGCTGGGCTGAGGGAAGTCTGGGCTTATAGACCAGATAAACAGCTGAAAATGGATGAAAGGAGGAGATGTTGTTTTTGTTGTTGTTTTTGTTGTTGTTTTTGTTGCTGTTTGTTTGTGCCCGATGCCCTCCTGATGTGTGTCTCCTCCACGACGAAACTTGAATATGTGAAACACAAATGAAGCCAAAAACATGTAAACGTGTTTATTTCTACTGTAAAGTTTTAACCTGGGAGTCTACGGCTGGAGCCTCATGTGGACACTGCAGGAACTACAGCCTTTCGCGCTTCTGGGTTAGCTTAATTTTTCTGTTGCAGAGGACGACGTGATGTGTTTAGGTTATTTTAGGAGAGTGTGATTTAAACACAGATATGGCACTAACATGACTGTTGAGTTTTAGTAGCTTTGTGGGGACCCACAAAGTTGAGGAAGTCATTTTAGTATCATTAAAATATCAGTAGGTCTAACTGGTTAATGAGTGATTACAGTGTAGGGGCCTGGGTTTATAGTGTCATTCAGGTTTTCTGTGTTATTTTAGGAAATGTTTTCCGTGGAACTGAATGAAGTAAACATGGTTTTTCCTCGGTACTGAGTCATTAACCTAATCAGGTAAGCACA